CCAAAGCTCTTATGTTTCTCAGCTGGTTTCCAGTATTTCCTCTGAATTTACCATATTCCTGTGCCTTTGCTCCAAGCCCAGCAGAGCTCCCTCTCTGTTAACCCTGCTGTTCCAACACCACCTCTGCAGAGCAGTGCTCAGAGCTAAGCTCTGACAGGAGCTGTGCTCCTGGAGGTGACACCGATTTTGGTGACCCAGAAGAGCAAACCTGTGTCAGGCTTTACTCCCAGGCAAGGGGAATCAGGCAGAGCTCAGCAAGGCACAGGGTGACATCTCCTCACAGAACTACCAAGAGGCAAAAGGGGAAATGCATAAAGGAACAAACAGCACAGAAAGAGAAGTTATTTAAATAGGGTGTTCTTTATTCATACAGAGCCTGTCTAGCACTCTACAAGAGAGCTGAATTCTGGGTTAATTTGCAATACTTTGGGCTTGCTTGTAAGGTTGTGGAGATGTGCTGCTGTCACAATGTGCTGTGTTTGTCTCAGAGAATGTGCCTTGGAGGGTCCCAGAATGACTGCACAGAAATGAGAAGGAGTATTTGTGATAAAAATGAGACCTGAATGGTATTAGATCATCCTGAGTGGCCTTCCAGATCCTGAAGGGATCCTACGCAAAAGATGGAGGGGGACTTTTTACAAGAACATGTAGTAACAGGACAAAGGAGAATTCTTCACACTGGCAGAGAGCAGGTTTAGATTAGATATCAGGAAAAACTTTCTTGTGAGGGTGGTGGGCCCGTGGCACAGAGAAGCCGTGGCTGCCCAGCCCTGGAAGTGCCCAAGGCCAGCTTGGATGGGGCTTGGAGCAGGTGGATGGTGGAAGGTGTCCCTGCCCATGGCAGGGAGTGGAACTGGATGAGCTTTAAGGTCTCTTCCAGCCCAAACCATTCTGGGTTTCCATGATTCTATGATAGGCTGGAATATGGCAAATATTTTATGAGCCAAAATGCAGAGAGACCCCCATAAACAGAGCATGTGATAAACTCAAAAAGATGAATTTAAAGAGCATCAGTGGGATCAGCTGTTGAGCTGGAAGCTTTGGGGGTTAAATATTAGTGATGTGATGGGTTTATTTTGTATTTCTCTTATGCAAAGCAGAAATTCAGCTCTTAGCTGCTGGTGGGTCAGAGAGTGGGAGCCCCCTGTGGCTCACAAACCAAACCAAACCAAGATTGGAGCATCCATTTCAGAAGCTGCAGAAGCAGGGAAGGCGGGGCAGGGAGCCCCGGCATTGTCCTGGAAGGTGAATGTAGCAGAGCCATTAGCACAGTGCTCATCTGCAGTCCCACGGGAAAGGAACCCAACCTCAGCCTGCCGCTCTCCAGTTTCATCTCTGCCACCTCGCTGGGTGACCTTGGGCAGCACATTTCATCTCAGCTTTGCACCAAAACCAAACGGGACTGAGAGTGGCACAGGCAAGGCAAAGGCCAAAGGGATCCACGGGGTGCGGGGCAACCTCCTGGCGCCAGGGGGTCAGTGAGGGCTGTGGGGTCCGGTACTGCTGCTCTGCTTGCAGTCAAGAAAGCCGCAATATTTCACCTTTTCCTGCCTCTCAGAACAGCAGATCCAGCTTTTGCTCAGCTCTGGTGAAACAGAGCGAGAGGAAGTGTTAAAAGATGTCTTGAGCGAGGTGTGGAGGTGCAGAGCGAGCTCCAGCCCAGAACGGTGCGGGGGTGGAGGCTGCTGTGTCCATCCCAGCGCTGGAGGTGTGTGGGGAGCCTCTTCTTCCTCCCAGCTCCACTGCGACACCTGGACTGCAGCCCACGTTTGGTGAGTGGAATTCACCTCCACGCTGCTTAAATGGGCTCTAAAAGGCAGGTGAACTTTACTGCTGAATTTTTAAAGCAAGCCTTTAATGTTTAACCAGTGCTGATTTTCTAAGGGCTGCTGGACAGCAGCTCCTCAGAGCGACACTGCACGAAGGGCTGGGCTGGAGGTGTGAAGCTGCCTTTGCCTTTCCCTTTTCCCTCAGGGATCCTCCCCCTGCTCAGGGCTGAGTTACCCCAGCACCTCCATCACAACCCACTGAATTTTCTGGCCTTGCTGACTGCAGCTTTGCCACAAACCTCCTTTGCAAGTTCTTTCAGCTGCTTTCCTAATGAGGTAAATAGGAATAACAATACCATGAACAATCCCTACAAGCTTTTTCCTGCACGTGATGTCCCAATGCACTTGAATTGCTGTTGAATTTTTTAATTTATGCCACCAGATGAGGAAGAGAAGCTGAGACAAAAGCAGAATTTGAAGTGAAATGCCCTTGTAAAGGGGGAAGTGGAGGCTGAATGATATCTCCAGACCAGATGCCCTTCCTGGAAGACATTCTCCTTTCTAAGTGCAGGAGTTCCTGGGCTGGGCTGCTGGGGGGTGAGAACTTCTTTCTGAGGAGCTCCCATGATAAAAAGCTGAGGGTCAGTGCCAGCCCTTGAGGCTAACACCCAGTCCTGGTAGGTGGGAGGACAGTCAGGGCCCTTGGGAATGCCCTGGAGAGTTGGCCCCTTGTCAGGGGAAAAGGCAGCCCAGTGCCACTGGAAAATGCCAAGGTGACCTTCTGGCAGCAGGAGAAAACAAGTGTTGGAAAATAGGAATTATGGTCAGGGCTGCACAGCAGAGAAAAACATGGATTGGGACTCACAAAATCCAGCTTTTATGACCTGAACAAAAGGGAAACAACCACAATTAGGGCACAAAGCAGTTACAGGCTGGTGTAAATTCTGTAGCATGAAGATGGAAATAGTGCTTTATTTTTTCCTCTGTTTTCTCTGAGGAAATTTAGCAGTAAATGAGGAACAGGAGAGACATACAACTTCTTTAAAAAAGAAAGTTGCTTTGTGATGGGAAATTCAGAATATTTATTTGTAAATAAATACATTTTGTTTTTTATTCTGAATATATATTTATAAAGTAGATATTGCAGACCTTGAGTAACTTTGTGTCTTTTGATGTCAAGTTGTGCTGCAAAGGTCTTTAGGAAAAGTGCTCTGGCTCCACAGGCACTGGGAGCTCTGACATTTGATGGTCAATGGTTGTTTTTGAGCAGTGTCAGGCTGGTCTCCTCAGTCTGAGATAGCAGAGCATTTCAGGAAATATTGCTAAACAGAAATAGCACTGCAGCTTCCTGAAATGCCTGCCCAGATAAGGGGACACTCCACAGCTGGAAGTGATAAGGAGGCAGGAAAAGACAAAGCAGCAGTAAATGTGATGTTACTTCAACACCAGCAGGCAAAGGGGCACCTGGTCCTTAGGGAGAACCTGAAAGGAGACTCTGAAGGTGCAAAACATTCCCCAGGCTGTGTCCCACACCCCTCTCCTCCACCACTCTCAGTGCCACACACCTCTCCTGCCTCAGGACCAGGAGTGCTGCTCAGGCACTCTTTGACACCCCAAAGTTGGACAGCATTGGCACCATTTCCTCCACAGAGCCACGGCCCCAAGGACTGTCACTGAATGGTGACAACTGCCCAGCACATGGCCTGACAAACAGGGGCCACTCACCCTGAGCTGCAAAGCCCCCAGGATTCAGCAAACACTGCACAGGCTTTCAGAGTGGTGGGAGAGGGGAAGCTGAGGGGTGAGGATGCCTCCCAGTGTCCTTCTCAGTGTCACTTGTCTGGGTGATCCCCTGGTACCTCATCACAGAGTACAGTTTGGGGAATATTTGCTCAAGGATTGGGTTCACCGGTGTGTAATAAATCATGTAATAAATCAAACAATAATACAGTGTATGGAATATTAATCCCAATATTTCCGGGTGGGACATGCCTGGGCCCATCTGACCCTTGCTGCTGGGCCAAAGGCGGCAGCTGTGGTGTTTCACCTCAGAGATACATTTGGCCAGCTGGATGCTGCAGCTGGGCAGTCAGAACAAATCCAGGCATAGTAGAAACTCAGTTTACCTCTGGTGGAAAAGGTTCAGGCGACGGTAAAGAGAGAAAGGAGAGGATTCTGCTGTAGAGTTTTAATCCAGAGTTTATTCCAGGATGACAGACCTCTGAATCTTGTAACAGCTCCCAACAGAATCCAGACCGCATGGTCCTGTCCCCTTTTAAGCCCGGGGACAGGGGGAGGGGAACGCAGAGGTTGGCACACCTGAGGGGTTGGGATAGGTGAAACAGGAAATGGCATCACACTGCAACATCAGTGCAGTGATAGAGTAAAGGGCTCAGGTGAGCGGGTCCCTTTGCTCTGATATACCCTGGGAAGAGCAGGATTAGATTGTGTTTGGGAGCTGTGGCTCTGCCTCCTCCTGCCCTGACCCAAGAAGGTTCCTCCTCCTCCTCAAGGGCAGGTGCCAGCTGGGGGAGAATCACAGAAACACGGAATACCCTGAACTTAAAGGGTCCCATCAGCATCATCCAGTCCAACACAGCCCTGCACAGGACACTCCAACAATCCCACCCTGTGCCCGAGAGCGTTGTCCAAGCACTCCTGGAGCTCAGGCAGGGTTGTTGCTGTGACCCCCCTGTGGGGTGGGGTGAGCCCATCTCCACACACAGCCCTCGTTATTCTCCTTTTCTGCCCACATGAGATCCCACCTGGAGACGTGCCCGGGGCTTGAGTCCTCAGCAAAAGGACACGGAGCTGCCGGAGCGAGTCCAGAGGAGGCAGCAGGATGACCAGAGGGATGGAGCAGCTCTGCTGTCGGGACAGCCTGGGGGAGCTGGGGGTGTTCACCTGGAGAAGGCTCCACGGAGACTTCAGAGCCCTTTCCAGCGCCTAAAGGGGTTCCAGGAGATCTGGAGAGGGACTTGGGACAGGGGATGGAATGAGAGGCCGAGGGGGAAGGGCAGCGTTCGGTGGGACATGGGGCAACGCCGTCCCCTCACGGCCAGACCCGCCCGCCCCTCAGCGAGATGGCGGCGGGGGGCGCGGGGGGGCCGCACGTGCGGGGGGCGGGGCCTGCCCGCGCCCCCGCAGCACAATGGACAGCGCCCTGCGGGGGCGGGGCCGCGCGGGGGGCGGGGCCGGCAGGGGGCGGGGCCGCCGCAGCCGCGGGAGCCGCCGAGAGCGGGATGGGTCCGGCCGGGCTGCGCCGCGCCCGCGGTGAGGGGGAGCGGGACGGGCGGGAGGGGAGCCGGGGGCTGGGCTCGGGAATCTCTGGGTGTGGGGGACGGGAGGCGGCCGCGGTGGGCAGCGCTCTCCGGGGGTCCCTCGGGGCCGCCGTGTGAGGGAGGGGCGGGAGGAGGGTGGGTGTGAGGCTTTTCCTGCCTCGCGTGTCTGGCCGGGTGCGTCGTGAGGCGGCGGAGCGGGGGCGGTGGGTGGGTGTGGGGGCGCCGGGAGCCGCTCTCCTTCGGACACGGGAAGCCGAGAGGGAAATTTTAGTTATAATCCTGTAGGATCAGGGAAGGAGCCGGTGAAGATCGGGGTGGCTGGGGATCCCTTGGGGTCTAAGGACAAAATGCAGCGGTTCTGGAGTTGTCGGGTCGGTGGTGCCGGGGGTCGCTCCCGGCGGGACCCCGGCGCCATCCCCAGCCGCGCCAGAGAGCCGGGCACGCCGAGCTCCCCGGGGCTCGGGGTTAACAGATCCACCCTGGAACTCGCCCTGAAGTATTTCTAAACTCAAAGGGTGACCCTGGTCAATGGCTGTTAAGTGCATTGATGGATTTAACAGGTTGCCCAGAGAAGCTGTTGCTGCCCCATCTCTGGAAGTGCCCAAGGCCAGGCTGGACGGGGTTTGGAGCAGCCTGGGGTGATGGGGCTGGAACGAGATGGGAAAGGTCCCCTCCAAACCATTCTGTGATTCCATGTTTTCAAGTCAGTTTCAAGGTGAACCAAGTATATTCTCTGGGTCACTTGGCTAAACTCCTCCAAGCAGTAAAATTGGTCTGTAGATGATGAGAAAAAAAACGTGCTTGTGTTGATGGCACCGCTTGTCTGGTGGGGCTGATGACAGCCAGCCTCTGTTAAAGGAAAATACAGCTGCAGACTTAAGGCACGCTGCAGCAGTTTGCTGGTGCTTTGTTGTACTGTCAAGTGAGCTTCTGCCTGGCTCTGCTCTTGATTTACATGTTAAACTGAAGCATGGGGTCCTTGGCAGAAGAAGGATGTGAACTTGTTGAAGTGGGGCCAGGGGAGCCCATGGAGATGCCCCAGAGCTGGAGCCAGGCTGGGAGAGCTGGGGGTGCTCACCTGGAGAGGAGAAGGCTCCAGGGACATCTCAGAGCCCCTTGCAGGGCCTGAAGGAGCTCCAGGAGAGCTGGAGAGGGACTGGGGACAAGGGATGGAGGGGGATGAAGCCCTTGCACAGGTTACCCAGAGGAGCTGTGGCTGCTCCATCCCTGTAAATGTTCAAGGGGCTTGGAGCAGCCTGGGATAGTGGAACGTGTCCCTGTCCAGTGCAGGGGGGGAAACAGGACAGGCTTTAAGGTCCCTTCCAACCCAGACCATTCCAGGATTCTGTGTCTCCTACTCTTAAATTGTGTTTGAGAATTGAACTATTTCCTACAGTGGATGGATAAATGGATGTGGTATGACTTCCTGTGGAGTAGTAAGGTGAAGAATGAGGGGTTTACTTCAGGAATGCTTATCTCCTGCTGCAGGCTGGCAAATAGCAGAGAGTTAATGTATTGCTGTGCATAAAAGTTCCATGGTGATTCTTTGGTGAGAAAATTACCTTATGAGATGGATGTGTGGAAATATTGGGCATGGAGCTTGTTGTGATACACACATGGAAGAGAAACAGCTCTGAGAGCAGAGTGCAGGACACTGTTCCCTCTCCTTCTTCCCCTCAGCCAAAAAGACTGTTCCCTATTGTGTGGTCAGGAATGTATACATGTTGTTGTTTGGGTGTTTGTGTTGCTTGTCTTTGGTTTTGATCCAGCCAGGACTCCAGGTACCTCTGGCAGGTGTAGGAGCAGTGCCCAGGCTCCACCTCAACACAGTGACCTGCACCCTCCATGCTGCCTCACCTGCTCCAGAGGTGTTTCTCAGGGGCAAGATTAAGCCCTGCCTGAGCAGATGTCTGCTTCTAAAAACTGGTAAAGATTTATTCTGGCACCATTCTGCCTTGAGTCTTCCTTATATCAAGCTTCAAGAGACTTGTTCTTAAGTTCTTAGGTGAAAAAGCTCTAATAAATATCCTACAGCTTGGTACTGTGTTGTTATTCTGTGTGTAAAGCAACAATTACAATATCTCCCTAAGTGAAAGGGGCCCCAGGCAGAGGAAATGTCACACACCTTTCACTCCACCTTTCTCTAGGAGGCAGGAGGAAAGAATGCAGCCCTGTGGATTCCCCTTTTCTAACTGGAAATATCAGCTTAGCTGGGTGCCACAGCTGGCTTTCACGTGGTGTAATGGTATTTCAGGAAGTCAAGAATCCTGCTATTTTCAGCAGTTCTTTGTCAAAAACAAAACAAAAAAACCTGCTCATTTCTCTTCAAGATGAAAAGCAGCCACCACAGGTGGGAGAAGTTAATAAAGTCACTTGCTGCCAGTTCCACATCCAAGAGGCAGCCCCAGTGTGCAAGGAGCTGAGTGAGTTCTGTGCCTGGCTGAGAAGCAGGGGCAGGGGGTTTGATTCAGGGATTTCTGTGGATTTAATCTATACACTCATTTCTGATTTCCAACCATCTGGCTGTATTCTGTTGAGTAAGCTGCTCCTACAAAGAGTAGAATAGAAGTCAAACATATGGAAAATCCCTCAGGTGTGCAGTGGGTGATTCTGGATGAGAAGGAAACACCCAGTCACTGTCACTGCCTGTCCCTGTGCTGTATGTAGTGATGTATAGGCCTGGCTCCTGTGTTGGGGGAGCTTTGCACACGGGGGGTGCTCCACTGCTTCTTCAGAATCCATTTCTCTGGAATGCTCCCAGAGTTACAGCAGGTGCCATCAGGGGTCCATATCCCACCTCCCTCCCTGGAGCTCCCAGCAGGTGGATCCCAAGTGTGTAATGAGATCTCTCTGCTTGGCTCACAGAGGAGTTGCTGTGTGGGCTGGAGCAAAGGAGGTGCCCAGGGGGCTGAGGCTCCCAGGGCTCAGTGCTGTTGGCACAGTGTGCCAGGGGATGCTTTGGGAAATGTGGTGGCTGCTGCTGTTTGCTGTGTTCATCTGTGCAAGAACTGAAATACTTTTAATACCTACTTGGGATGGGTAGGGTTGCTATTATTGGGATGGTTGTTAGTAGCCAGATTTGTTGCTTCAATGCATTGATGACTCCAACCTCTGAGCTTTTATCAACTACTCTGGGCTTGGCCAGCTGGGATTCTGCCTTTTTCCTGGTGTTTCCCCACGGATGCTCCAGGTGTGCCTCCACCTGTGGATTGGGGTTTCTCTGTGGTCATGCTGCAGTTCAGTGGGTCACTGCTCTTCACCTGAGTTGTCTTCCCTAATATGTTTTTTTAGCCAGATGCAAATAGGAAATTGAGCAGGGAGCCTGGGCCACTGTAGAGCTGGGAGGATGTTTGAGGAGCAGACAAACTCTCTGGTTGGGTGGTTTCTTTCTGGTGGTTGAACATACCTGTTTATAATTGGAGTGGAACACAAGATGAATTTAAAAACACATCTGTCTTTGGTGCTAAAGCCCTGGGAAGATGCACTCTTGAGCTAGCATGGCCCAGATGCCCAATGGTAACACCTGGGACTTATTGTCCTCATCAGTGCTAATCATCATCTTCAGCTGGGTGTGCCAAGCACCCACCTTTCACTGCCTTTTCTGATGTTTTTTTCCTTTTTTCCCAGAACTTACAGCAGGAGTCCCTGTTGCTTTGAGAAGCACAATGACCATCTCACAGCTCTGTTTGGAGGAGAGGGCATAGAAAGTCTGCTGCCACTGCACTCTCCCAAGGTAGGAAAGATTTCTAGGGCAGGTGTGAGTTACCAGCTGTCATTCTTCCACAGCTTCCTGTGGGTGTAATAGTCACTGGCTCTTTTCTCCAGCCTTCCCTTAGCTGGAGGAGCACAGGGACAATAAACCTGTGGCAGTTGGGTGCAGCAGCTGCAGGAGCAGTGGCTCTGTCCAGATAGCACAGTTATGGCTGCTGAGCTACAGCTTGTGCCATCCCACTGTTCTGTGGCTGGTGCCTCTGTTTCTGGTGCCTCTGTGGGTGATTCTAGACTGGTCTGTCTTGAGCCTTCCTGCTGTGGAGGTTTCTGACCTTCTCCTGCCAAGGTGCAGGAATTCCTGGTGTAGGAGGTGAGGTCAGAATAAGCAAGATCCCAGCTAAATGTGCTTGAGGAGGCTTTTCCCGCTCTGTTTGTGCTCACAGGAGGGTCCCTGCCCAGCCTAATCATGTTACAGGTCATGTTCCAAGGTGCCCTGTCCTGTGCCTCTTGGCTCGGGTGTCTGATACCTGATAGCAGCCAGGGCTTCCTGGGATGTGCTTGTCCTGCTCCTCTCGCTGCACTCTGGGTTGGATGCTCTGCTGGGAGTTTCTCTCTGCACTGACTGGCTTGGCATGGACTGGCTTTTAGCCCCAGTGAGACTGAGAGACCCAGCAAGCCCTGACCTTTGCTGCTTGGGTAATGTGATCCTCTGCAGAGGAACTGTCTGATCACTGGGCCCTATTTCTCCAAAAATCCCCCATTCTCAGGTACTCAAACTTTTCAAGTCCTTTTTCCCTCGCCCTTGCATAGATTTTACAGTGTGATGGCATCTTGTAGCAATTTTTGAGGGAGAATCTATTGCCTATTCATGTTTCACCTCGGGTTTTGGGCTGAAAATGTCAAGGATAAGTTGTCTGAGTGCTCTGACTGTTGAGTTCAGTGCTACAGCCCAGGGCTGTGTCTGCTCAGCAGTGGAATTTGAGTGGGGTGGAATGAGCACAGTGCCTCCAACCAGCCATCCAGCCTTTTGTGTCCTGATGTTCATGGATGGCATTGGCAGGAGCAGTACAGAGGAATTCCTAAAGGAATTGCAGAAAACAGCCTAATAATGCTTTTTATAATGGTTTGTGCACTTCCCTTGAGATGGTGGTTACTGGTGCATGTTTGAGGGTTAAAACCCAGGCAGGAGAGTCTGAGGGAGGAATCCTGATGAGGACAGTGAGAGGTGGCTGGGAGCAGGGAAATACTGAGGACAGAATTGTTCCTGCTCCCTGCAGTTCTTGCTTCAGTTCAGCTGGAGCAGTGGGCATCCAGGCAGTAGGATGTGATTGCCAGCTTAGCATCAGGCATGTTCTTTCTGAATGCTGCTTCCTTTTCCTTCCTTTCAGTGAGCTAAAACCACTGAATCCTACTTTGTGCACAAAAACATTTAAAACACTGAGGTATGGGAAACTGTGGAAGCTTTCAATGAGAGAGATTTTGCCCTAATGATTACAGGTATAATGTAGGGAAGGGGGATAGGGGGAAGAATTGCTATGTTGGGTATGGGAAGCTGTGGAAGCTTTCAATGAGAAAGATCTTGCCCTAATGATTACAGATATAATGTAGGGAAGGGGGATAGGGGGAAGAATTGCTATGTAGGCTCTGTAAGGCTCCTAAGACAGGCTCCTTCTCCAGAGCACAATTTATTCTGGCTTTACATCTTTGTACTGTGCTTTAATTATTGTGAGTATTGTTGGAGCTCCAAGTTGAATTTATTGCAATAGTGCTGGCAAGCAGCACAGGATGCTGGGCACAGCTCTGGACTGGGACTGCAGAGACTTGCCTCTGTCTCTGCCACTCACTAGGCAAGATGTTCTACCTAATAAATAAATCTCCTCTCTATTTGTAAGAAATAGCTCCAACTTCTAGTAAGGTCTGTAAAAATCATCTAGAATGTATTGCACTGCTTGATGTGGGGGATCTAAAATGTTCCAATTTCTCTCTATTACAGATTTGTGGTAAAAATGGTGCAGAAATACCAGTCCCCAGTTCGAGTCTACAAATACCCTTTTGAGCTCGTCATGGCAGTGAGTAACACTCAGCACTTTCCCTGCTCCAGCTGCTCAGGGCCAGGGGGAGGTGGGGGACTGTGAGTTTGGCTGGATGTCCCTAATGCAAGGACAGAGCCTCAGCTCCCCTCCTCCAATTTTCCAGGAAAAATAAGGATCAGTGTCTCATTATTAAGAATGGCAGCTTAGTTGTTAGAGGAAAAAAAAAATCCCAAACAAACAAGAAAATCCAACCTTATGTAATTATTCTTTGACAAGGAAGGAAAAAAAAATGACATTGTTAGGCAGGGTCAGTTTGTGGCCAGACACCTTCTTTGCCATATCACCAAATGCCACTCAGTTCAAAATCTGTCCAGATGTGATCCCAATCAGCACTGTAGTATGATTGTATCTACAACTGGATTCTGAGTAATACTGAGCTTTTTGATTTGGTTTAAGGCTGGAAATCTTTGGAAAGAGTCTCCTGTATTCTTCTTCCCCATCCACTCTGTGATTGAACTGTCAGGAGACCTCTCTCCAAATCTTGTGATTTCCACAAGGGGCTTCAGGGCTGTCATTGAAGTTCATTCACTGGTGGTGCAGAAGGCTGATGTTGACCATGGGAGCTGCTTTAGGCAGAGTTTCTTTTCAATATTCTGGACTTTGTCACAATTAGGTGCGAGTCAAATACCCTTCTCAAAGGTTTGCTGTTGCATTTCGAGGGCAGCATTTGGTGTTGTTAGAGGAGCTTGCTTATGGGATCTAGCAAGGTTTTGTTTTGTAATCTGCTGGGCATTTCAGTCAGCTGAAGGAATGCCCAGGTTTGGTGTTTGCCACTTTTAGCCTGCTGCTTCCTCCACTGCCTGTTCCCAGTTCCTTTAGTTCATGGGAGCCCAGAATGAAGGTGGGAAGCTGCAGCTGTTGCAGACAGCTGATGTGATTCCCATGAATGGAAGGGAGAGCCTCTATTGAGTTCCTCTTGAGAGTGTGGCCTCTTCAAGATTTCTGAGAAATTCATGCCTTAAGATTTGTTTTATCTGAAACAGCCTCCAACCTTTTATTTCAACAGTTAAAACTGGGAGCATCAGTTTGTTCCTCATTGTGAACAGGAGACCCCAAAGGCAGCAGCAGCTGAGAGTGGTTGCTGCTTGCTTTGCTCTCTGATCATCCAGATGAACACTGCTTTTGCTGACAGTTGAGCTTCCTCCCAAATCCACCCCTTTTTCCCCCAGTTTTACCCAGATCGGCCATGTCTGTTCACAGCTAGACCAGTAACGTGCCACAGAATTGCCCTGACCAGTCTGGGGCTGATGTTTGTGGCAGTGGAGCTTTCCTGGCTGTGCTCTTTGCTCTCTCCGTGCATCCTGTGTAGAATAAGACACCAGTGCCTGTGATGAAGATCCTGGGAGTCTTTGCTCCATGCACACCTCTCCACATTTCCTGTTGTGTCTATTACCAGGATAAAGCTACCACCAGATGCTCCTCAGTCGATTGGCTGCTAATTGAGGAGGGCTGCCTTGAGACAAATCCTTTGTAAGCTTGTTAGCACATGCCTAAAGGCCAGGGGCTGGTAGGCTTAATTCTGCAGTGCTTTAAGTTTATTTGCTTTCAGTTTTTCAGCATAACAGAACTTAAAATTCCCTGGGAATTGAGGGCTGGGGTTGTAAATGTCATCCTTTATTGTTCAGCAAATCTTAGCAAAGTTGTCAGTGCTTTTTCTTATGAACAAATTCCTTTTCCAGGGTCACCCAGCAGACTGTGCTGTGGAGTAGGGAGCACAATATAGACCCCTTAGCTCCCCCCACGACGTCCTGTGAAAATCCTGTGTTCCCAGCAGGATCTGCTGTTGTCAAGCAGCGTTTCAGCCTTGTGGTGGTCGGTGCAGGCTGAGCTGGCTGCAGGGCTGGCTGCAGGGCTGGCTGCCACCGTTCAGTGCCACCGTTCAGTGCCACCGTTCAGACGAGGCTCCCTCCCGTTTGTGTGGAGGCAGCGCGGATCTCACGGATCTCACGGAGCTGTCAGGTACCAGCTGTCAGTTGCTGGAAGTTTTGCAGGGAAGAGTGGGTGTGCAGTGAAGCTGTTTTGCTCCTCAGCACGTGGCATTGCTGTTAATCTCCTTCACCATAAATCTGACAGCAGCTTCCTCAGCACTGAGATTCAGCTGCTTTCATCTTTTCCCCTCAAATGCTGTGTGGGAACCTTTGGAGTGCCGAGGTCTCAGGCTGTGGTAGGGAAGCAGAGGTTGCAGGGTGATCTCAAGACACCCCCATGTTTTACAGATCTCTGGGCACCCTTCAGCCTGATACTCTTGTGCTTAATTCCTCACTGGGAAGGGTCATCCCTCACAACACAGCCTGAACAGAACACAGGAAGAAGTTGGGAAAAGTATTTTTCCCTCAGAACCTCCTGTGTTTGGACCCTAGAAAGCAGTGGGTGTGCTTTACTCACATAGAAGAGCTTGAGAAATAGGGCTGTCACAGCCAAATTTGGCAAGCTGTTCCCTGTTTCTGGGCTCACACACATCCCAGGCCCTTTGTGGAGCCCACCCCCAGGAACAGGGGTTCTCCTCCTTGCCCTTGTGCAGAGGCCATGTGTGTGCCTGAGGCTGTGCTCAGGGATGAGCTGGGGCTTTTCCTGTGATATCTTTGTTACCTGGGTGAGGGTAATTGTCTCTGGATTTATACTCTGCCCTTTGCTAATGCCCCTGCAGCTTGGGTTGGAGCCTTTGCAGGCAGGAGATTTGACGTGTATTCCAAGTCCTTGGAAGAACATTCCCCTCCTTGCTCTCTTTGCCAGTCCTGTGCATCTGAGGAGGTAAAAGGGAATCAGCTTAACAAGTCTTTTCTTGTCATTTGGGAGTTCTGATTTTTTTTCTTTTTTCTTGTCCTTCCTTCTAAAACAGATTTAAGCAAAGGCTGTTTTTTCCACATCTGTCCAAGGTCACTATAGTCATTTCCACCTGCTTTGTTCCTAACTTGGATTCACATTAATGGATCAAAAGTATTATGCTCTTCAAACACATATTCAGTAGCCTGACCCCTTTATACCTTATACTTGAAAAGAACCTTGACTTCTGTTAGGCTTTGTTATCTTGTCATGTTTTTCCTTTCTATTTTATCTTTTTTGTCTGTGTCCTCTTTTAAATGGAGCTATTCCTCCAATGGATTGTCCATGCCTCTCTGGGCCTCATCTTGTCTTCCCTTCAATTAGATCAGTAGATTTGACATTGCATGTCTTCTAATTTTATCTTACAGCCAAGAAAATTCCCAAGTATAAACTTACTTTTAATTTTCTTTCTGTTGTAGTTGGAAAGCTAAAAGTGATTTTTTTTAATGTTATAATGAATGAAAAATCCAGAAGAAGAGGTACCTCTGCCACATATGAGTGATGCAAATATTTGTGAGCCTTCTGTGATGTACTGGGGAGGAGAATTTGGTTTGGGTGAGCGAGTCCAACATGCAGGAAATGGCCAAGAGAGAGACATATTGCATATTTAATGTTATTTGCAGTGAATTATTAGGTTAGATGAGATGGCTGGGGCTGGAGGGTTTCAGCTTTGAACGTGGTAGGGAGTTGTGTTCCTGTTGTTTTTAGTAGTGCCTCAGCCCTTCATGCTCAAGGTTGACATTGACCATTTTCACACACTTTAGGGGATTTATAGGGTCAGGTCCCTAAAGCTACAGGTTGGGAATAACCCCCCAGAGACCTTACAGGGTCTTTTGTACGTGATGGATAATTTCAGTTGCTGCATTAGTGGTGCAGATGAGAAATCTCTGACAGCACTTGTCAATGATTTGCTCCTTTTGCCACAGTGCACTTCATGTTCAGCTCTCACTGCTAAGAGCAGTTTATGGCTTCTGCTGCAAGAGAGGGATCTTTCTGCACTACTCTATAAAAATAAGTCATGATTTGGGGAAAAAAGAACAAAGATCAGGCACTGGGAGGTTTGCAGGAGCATCAGCTCCCATTGCCTGTGCAGTTGTATTTTGTGCTTGAGACAAAACTGCTGTGGAGCCCCACACACATGTGCCTGATGTGAGTCAGTGCTGCTTTCTGCTTGACCTCATTTCTTGGTGCTGCCCAGGGCATGTGCTGACACATATCTGTGCAGCTGGGAGCCCGAGCTCTTGGACACACACATGGGAGCCTTGGTGGGTGCTTCTGGGCTGCCTGAGTGCTGCTCATCAGGCCAGGCCAATTCTGCTCCTGCAGCCAGAATTTGGCAGGGGGTGGCTCCTCTGGGGTGCCTCTTTGGTGTGGGGTGTTTCTCATCTCCAGCATCACTCAGAGTCTCTGACAGACCTGTGGCAGCTCAGGAGCCCCTGCCTGGCTCTGCAGGTGAAAGCTGCAACATCTCAGCTCCTGGCCTGCACTTCCAAGCATCTCCCTGACTCTTCTGGTTTTAGTGATGATTCAGTGTCCTTTGAATCACAGAACAGTTTGGGTTGAAGGGACCTGAAAGCCTATCCCATCCCACCCCTGCCATGGCAGGGACACCTTCCACTGTCCCAGGCTGCTCCAAGCCCTGCCCAGCCTGACCTTGGGCACTGCCAGGGATCCAGGGGCAGCCACAGCTTCTCTGGGCACCCTGTGCCAGGGCCTGCCCACCCTCACAGGGAACAATTTCTCCCCATCTAACTCTGCCCTGTGGCAGGGTGAAATCATTCCCCTTTGTCCTATCACTCTGTGCCCTCATCCAAAGTCCATCTCCAGATTTGTAGGTCTCCAATGTTCTTTACATTTAGTTGATCTGCAGTTTTTTTATTTTGCAGGTAAGACAAAGTAGGAAATTAACACTGCATGGTTCTGTTTCAGCTCGGTATAGTTTGAGTGTCAGAGGTTCTAACAAGCTGAGTGACAAGTTTAATTCAGGCTACAAATGCTGCAAGCTTATTTAAAGTCAGAACTTCCTTCTCATGGAGTAAGCAGCAGAAAGATTCCTTCTCCATCATCTCTACTCTCTCCTGCTGCACTCAGGGTCATACCCATGGACAGCAAACATCCATGGTCCCAATGTGAGATGTCTCTCTCTCATGCCT